TTGATGTTTAATGTTAATTTCAATTTAGTTTTTACGGTCGTTAAGATAATTCTATGTGATTGTTTGCGTAATAAGCTTTTTGAAATTTTTATAAAATGTTTTTTGATGTATTTATTAATGCGTATTTATTTTTGTTTAAGATGGATTTTTATAGACAAACGAAAAAAATTAAAAACCTGATATCAATGTCTGTTGCGTTTTATTTTAAACTTTTCAAACTAAGTCCTATAAAATCCTATAAGAATTGGAACAAAAAAATTTATGATTTGAACCCTATTAAATTAAAACAGCTAAAAAGTGTTTAGGGGAGAGTGGGGTAATGGTGAACGCGGGGTAATTCCGAACATGGTCAAGACAGCATTGTAGGAAAATAAATTTGACAATTTCTTTTTACCTGCAATGAAGGGATCCTATGCCCAGTTCCAGACCTGCAGTAGCGTAATGAAGCTGCGGATGTTGTTTACTATAGTTTGATTTTAACTATTTCTGAAAATTTTATGCAACTTTTTTTCTTGAGTAACATTCTGTTGCAGCTTCTATGGAAAGAAAACCACTTCTTTTTTTTGTTATTGTTGCATAATATATTTTTTAGACTTAGTTATTACAATTAGCATTTTAATCGTTATTACACATCAATGTTTATGATTGCCCCCCTATGTGTTCGTAATTACCCCACTTTTTTTAAACATCTTTAGTTCTAATAAGGCTGCAAGCAACCATTATTAGATTTGGAAGTTAGTGAAAGAAAAAAGATGAAGTTTATAAAGCAAGATAACAATTAACAAACGACTTGAAAGATTGCAAATTATATGAATAAGGAAAACAAAAAGAAGGAAGCGAATTCCAAGGAACTGATGGTCGAGGGAAAAAACTAGACAAATAAGAATTTTTGGAGCACTTAGGAACAGTCACAGTAAAGGGATGAGACTAAATTTAATGACGAGTAACACGAAAATGAATTTTAGCTGATGGCACAAGAGATGCTGACTCTTTAGAGCTGTGCCTATTATAGTATTTATAAAAAAGAGAAAGAAAGGCAACAATACAGACTTTCACAGAGTTTGGTTTCAGTGTATGACTTTTTCATAGAAGATAAAAGAACAAAATGGCAAAATGTATATATATATTTTTTTTAGTTTGTTGATAAAAAAAAAAATTTAACAAAAATTTGCATTACATTTCGAGCACCATATCCATATCTTTGGAATAAAATTGTAATATTGATTTATCCAATAAAATTGTAATATTGTAATCCAATAAAATTGTAATATTGATTTATCCAAAGCTTTCGACACAGTAAATCATGAAATTCTTTTAAAAAAATTAGAAAACTATGGTGTTAAAAACCAAAGCTTACTTTGGTTTAAATCATACCTAACTAACAGAAAGCAATTTATACTTAAAGAATCAAAAGACTCAAAAAACAACTTAATAACTTGTGGAGTGCCCCAAGGTTCTATTTTGGGACCATTATTGTTCGTACTTTATATAAATGATTTATATTTATCATCAAAAGTATTAAATACTATCTTATTTGAAGATGACACTAATTTGTTTTATTCTCACAAAGATATTACTGTTCTTTTTAAAATATTTAACGAAGAATTAGACAAGATCAAAGAGTGGTTTATAAGTAACCGACTATCATTAAATGTAGAAAAAAACAAAATTTATCCTATTCCATAAACCTAGTAAAGCCGAGAATATTCCTCTTAAACTACCCAATCTTTTAATCAATAATAAAATAATTAAAAGGGAATTGACTACAAACTTTCTGGGAGTGCTCTTAGATAAAAAATTGTCATGGAAATTTCATATTAAATATATTGAAGGTAAGATCTCAAAAAGTATTGCCATGTTATACCGAACGAAACCTTTTCTTAATAACGAGTCTTTAAAAAATTTATATTTTTCGTTTATACACAGCTATCTTTCATACTATAACATTTCCTGGGGTAGCACTAATCACACTAAACTCAAAAAAATTTATAGTAAACAAAAACATGCTCGCAGGATAGTATTTGGGGCAAATAGAAAAATACAATGCGAACCTTTCTTACGTCAGCTTGGAGCTTTAAATATTTATAAGCTTAATATTCATCAAGTAATGATATTTATGTTTAAAGCAAAACTTGGGTTTTCCCCAGTAACATTTCAATCCTACTTTAATGAAATCTCCCATAAATATCCAACCAAATTTTCAGTGAATAACTTTGTGGTTCCCATAAACTTTCTTAAATTAAGTTCGTACCAAATTCAATATTCAATTTTAAACTAAATCACTTAAAAATAAGTTAAATCTTTAACACTTTCTTTAGCTTTTATTAAAATGGTTTCAAACCATTAGTATAAAAGATAACGAAAATAAAATTGTCTTTTTCGTTCATATTTTTGATGATATTAAATAATCAGCCCAAATACTTATGTTTACATATATTGCTTTTTTTTTTTTTTAATGAAACAACACATTTTTTTGTGTGTTTTTATAACTTTCATGACTTTTTGTCGTTTTTACTTTTTTATTTTTAAAATTTATTCTGCTTGAAGATTGTTAGCAACAAATTATTTTATTGCTGAAGTTTTTGATTTGTTTTTGTTTTTGTATTTATACTGTCTTTTTGTCTTTTATCATTTATTGTGCATGTAAATTTTTGTGTGACGGGGCTCGGCGATAAGACAACCTGTCTTCTTCTTGCTCCGGCCAGGATTTTCTTTTATTGTAATTTCTTTTTTGTAATATTTATCAACGGCAAATTAAATAAATAATAAAAAAATAAAATAAAAAAATACCTAACTTTGATATATCCAATACTTTTCCGATCTTTAAAAGTAAACTTAAAAATTGTATTCTATTTATTGATGATATATTTAAATACTTTTTATAACAACCTCGTTTTTGTCTTTTTAATTGTAAGGCTGTTGTATTTTCTCTTTCCTATTATAAATAAATGTCTTACAGAATTTACTTTGTATATATATTTATATATGTATTTGCGTATATATTTGCGTTTTTATTATATATAACGTTAGTGGTTTGATTTACATTTTCAATTTATATCACGATTTATTGTAATTTTATAGCCTTGTTTATGTATTAATGTAAAAAACTTGTAAAAGGTTCTGATGATAAGATCATTATGATATTCTTTCAGAAGCCTTGTTTGTTTGTTTTTGTAAAATTAGATATTTATTAAACATTTAATTGAACTATTAATTATAACTCTTGAAACAATTTTAAATCTCTTTTTTTTTTTTTTAAACAAAGTTTTTAAAATTAAAAAAAAAATAAATTTAAAGCGAAACAAATAAAATTAACTTACAATATTTTATATCCATTATGCAAAATTGGATATCCACTATGCAAAAACCTGAGTTTATTTATTTTTCCCATTCGAGTGTTTGTGTATTATTTAAAAAAATATTTTATCAAATTTTAATAACTATTCTAGACTCCTTTCGAAACCCTTGAACAGTTAACAGGTCCCTAATATCAAATCAAATGTATTCTGAAATAGATTTTATTTTATATAACTAATTGATTCATGCCATGAATATAATGTATATATAATTTTTTTTTTTTTTTTTTTTTTTCAAGCAGCGTGTTGAAGCGAACAGACGCGTTTTTTCTACAGCGTGTTAAATTTTAAATTAAACATGGAAACCTCATTTAAAAATATAGAAAAATTAATTATCAAGAAGTTGGAGGAACAAAAGATATGTATATTACAAGAAACAGAAAAGTTGTTGAAAGAACAAGAAAAAAGCTTCGCGTCGATAATGAGTGCAAACTTGAAAATATTAACGGAAAGAATAGAGAAAATTGAAATATATGTAACAAATAATAAATCCAACATTATGAATATCGAAAAAGATCTGAACGATGTCAAAACAACATTAAACTTCCAAGAAACAAACCTTATAGATAAAATAAAACAAATTAGAAAGTGTTATGACAACGAAGTAAATATGTTGACCAAAAAAACAATCGATCTCGAAAACAGATCTCGACGAAACAATCTGCGAATAGATGGAGTAAAAGAAAAAGCAGGTGAAACCTGGACTGAATGCGAGGATACAGTTAAAGATATTTTTAAAAACCAACTAAAAATAAATAGCGAAGTTGTTGTAGAAAGAGCACATAGAGTAGGCAAAACAAAAGATAGTAAAATACCTAGAACTATAGTTCTGAAACTTTTAAATTATCAAGACAAGAACAAGATTCTTAACGCTGTTAAAAACTTGAAAGGTACTGGTGTATTCATCAACGAAGATTTCGCAAAGGAAACTATCGAGAGTCGCAAAAAGTTGTGGGAAGAAGTCAAACGTCTACGCGGTGAAGGAAAGTACGCCATTATCAAGTATGATAAAATTTTTTGTAGAGAATTTAAAAATCCCATCCCTAACTTTAAGTCCTAAAAAGAAGCCTTTCTAAAAGTAAATGCTCAAATAAAATTATATTTAAAAAAAAAAAGCATGGCTGGAATCAGTGACTTTGAATCCATGCGTTTTAACTTTAATGAAATAAATGATGTAAATATAGACCCCGATATAAACTATTCCTACGAGGCGCTTACGGATTGCTCATATTACTTTCCAAGCGATTTAGAAGGGTTTCTTTTTAAAAATGTTTATGACAAATGTTTAAATAAAATTATGATACTACACGTAAACATTCGAAGTCTTAATAACAATTTTGAAAAACTTTTAAACTTGTTAGAGGAAACAAAAAATCGTTTTAATATAGTTTGTTTAACTGAAACCTGGATTTCAAATAACATAGATAATACTTCGAACTTTTATATTCCTCATTTTAAATTAATTTCGTTTAAAAGACAAGTAAATAAACGCGGCGGAGGAGTCATTATATATGTGAATGAAAATATTGTTTATTACGTTAGGAATGATTTAAGTGCTTCTGATAGCGATAAAGAAATTTTGACTATTGAAATTATGAACAATCAATCTAAAAACATATTATTAAGCTGTTGTTATCGCCCACC